TCTGCTGACGGTTCAGTGTCTTTACAAAATCGAAAAAAATATACACCGTCTACGAATGATGAATGACTTTTGAGTCAATTTATAACACATTAATATGGTTGAAGGTATATTATATGAGAGACTTATAAAAATGAAGACATGGATATATTTATTTGTCGATGGGATAATCGTCGTCTAATTGAATAATCAATTTGATGGTTATGAATAAATCATTTTGATTGATATAACTAATAACTAGTTTTAAAATATTAATGTAAATAGATACAAGATTTACAATACTTAAAATTGTTTGAAATCAATTTGGTCACAAAAAAATGTAAAAAGAAATTCCGTTTTATGAAAATGAGAGCCAACAATGGGTTTGTGGTGAAACTATATTTAGCAATCATTGGTTTCGGGTTCAATCTAATTTTATCCAAATCGATATCGAGCAGTAGTGATACCAAATTTTTACTTGAGATTATAGATCTAAATATGGTTTCAAATAAAAATAGCTTTTTGGGATATTACTGCAATATATATTCATATCACTATTAAAACTTTTTGTAATATAATATTATCAGATAGAGAATGAATAACCTCTGATTTGCCTTCTAGAAACATTATGTTAAGGAATGTACATTACAGTAGTGCATATTGCTTATAGTTTTCATTACTGTATCAAAATATAAATCCGTTTCTTTTGTCATATGTATGACGTCGAAGTTGAAAGTAAAATCAGCAGTTTATTAAATCACGTGAGGTATCATCAGCCAAAACGAAACGCGTTATAATTTACCAGCTTTACTCATCGGAAATTTATCATGGTTTTTCGAGCCAACTTTTTGGTGCCAGCGGTAAACAAAATTTTTACACACTGATTAAAAGCTATATATTTACACTCTATTCAGTCGTTAATTTGAGATTTGTTATTAATATTGCCACTGTTATTCAAGAAAAATAAGCAAACCATTAAAATATTTTAACCCTTTATGCATATAAAATAAGAAGATTATTATCGGCTGTGTTGGATAACCAATATAATGTTCTTTTTCCAAGTTTCATTAGATTTTTTCTAATATATACTAATGCTTTTTGTCTTGATTCAGCAATGTCAATAAAGGGCTATTTTGCCTAATATTGTATTTAAGTTTATATTCACAATTTATGTTTACTCCTGCCTGATGGCGTTATGCCAATTAAATTGCGTTTGCATAAATATGAAATTAAAGAGACATATGACTGATTTAAGAAAAGCTAATGATATAATTATGAAAATAATTATCTTAATTTATTAATCAAATATTTTTTGCATACACATAGCAATAAACTGAATTATAGCAAAATAAAATATTCATAAAATCAGTAAACTATCTCATATTTTCTTCTAATTACCTGAAAATATTTTAATGACCGTCTCAAGGCTTAGCACCTTCGACGGCGCCAATGTTTATTACGATCATTTTCAAGAGAGCACTTTTATAATTAGACAAAAAATCTATTATTTTCACACACGACGATATTGAATGCATGCCAAAAATTGAGATTGTATGAAATTTAAAACTACTACGTGATCGGCAACGCGTGCTCTTCTGCCAATGCTGATCCAACGAAAACAATTATTGAAAATATTTACAACGTCAGAAATTTCTGTTATGCAACAATGTAATGGACAAATACGACAGGTAGACGACATCTGATAATATTTTATTTATCTAAATTAATGGTTGAATTCGGTAAAAGAATATTTTGAGAATATATCACAACTAGATGGAATTACCATTAAACCCGGACGTCTATCCAAAGGATTGTCGTCTAGTCAAAGGCTATCTCGAAAAGCTAACTATTAAATTTCTGAAATCGGTTCAGCCCTTTTTTTTTGAGAAGTTGACGACAGGTCAAAATTTGGTCGATTTAGACTTTCTAAATGCACCAAAAATTTGCTGAGGAATAGGTGCAAATATTAAAAAAAGAAAAAAACTAGAATGGGTAATTACTGGGTTGCTCCTTAATACTCATCAGTTAAATAGACAGATTTTAATTCAAATTAAATGGATGTAAGTAGCATTTTGTCTTAAAGGAAGTCGCATGTGTAAATAATCGATTTAATTAAGAAGAAATCATTATGATAATTTATGAGTGATTCATAAGCATACAGAGTTGCTGTAGAGTTTGCAATATATTGCAGATTAATCAGTTTTGCAATGTATTCAATAATTTTTGCATAGTATTGCAGATTTTTCAATTTTTTACAAATTTTTTGTTATTTTCGACAAAATTGTTTAAATGATACACATAACTGATAAATGATAAAGACACAAAACTCAAACTCATACTTAACATATGCATTACACAGCAATTAATTTTTATAACTGTACCACTCTTTGTAGGACTATAATATTTTAGTATGATCATCAAGACCAGGAACTCTTTACCCCATATAATTAATTATATGGATAAAGAGTTATGCAAACAAAAAGTTGCAATCAATTACAAAAAATGCCTTTGCGATCTTTGTAGAAAACCAATTAGCACGATTCCCAAAAGATATCTTGCGAAAAGTTTTAGAATTATGAAAATCGATTTAGAATTTTTGGTACAAAAAATTTTACACTTTTATGCAAATTCTAAAGAAACAGCTCAGCCGATCGTCTCGAAAAAATATCTATTACCTTATTGCAACCGCTCCAGCCGTTTTTGAGAAAAAGTCGACGAAAGGTCAAAAATCAGTGGGTCACATAATCTACACACACACACATAATTTTTCCGCCATAGACGCATTTGAAATGCTAATTTACCTGCAATCTATGGAAAGAGAAAGAGCCATTGGGACTTCGTTCATTTGAGATAAGCCTAATTTCAATGCAAGAATTATAACATTCTAGATCCTCCCCCCACGAAGCGATGTCTAACGGCGGTTTCCGTGGGCATCAGCGCCAAGGACAAAGCGAAGGTTTTAGTCGAAGTTTTATACCCAGGCAATATTGTGTCCGACATACCAGATAAAAAACCAGTCTGGGATTAATAAATGCATTTTCTTCGCTATACAAAAAACGCATACTATCTCCAAATTTTGTCTCAAAATTGACAAATGATAGAAGATGAAATAAGACAGTTGAAGTGGCGGGAATAGATCATTCAGTGGCATACAGGACTCAAACGCCGCGGATACCCGGTTCAAGTCCTTGTGCTGACAAAAGAATTGTCATTTAATTTGAATTAGAAGTAAAAAGAAACACGAAGATTTACAACGGAGAAAATGAGATATGGATAAGTCATGGTAGATACAAAAGATTGTATAAAAAGTAAAAATGAAATGTTGTAGGTTGCTAAATGCTCTAAGTAAGCGAGGTCAATAAAATAAACAAAAATATTGAAAAGTCGAACTTTTTAGCGGAAGGTTAAAAGGAGGTTAAAATAATAACCGGAAACTCTTGCCATATAAAATAGAAAATTTATTGCAAAAATAATTTACTATCAATTACAAAGATAAGCCTCTGTCGACCTTTGCAGAAATAACCCATCACATTCATTTGTAATTTATAACTATCTGAAGTTAAATTTTATTATGAACAGTTGCTTGACAATTACAATATATGTCTCATGGACGCATTGAAATTACCAATTAAGTTTATAATCCTCTAAACATAATTTATGACTTGCATGGCGGTCTTACGGCAATTTTATTACCATGATTATTTCATCATTTTTCGGTTATAAGGACATATAAATAAAACAAAAACTTGTGCACAAACGCTAGAAATATTATGTACTTGAGAACTATTATAATACAAATTACCGCCATTTTGTAAATGTCAAAATATATGAAACACATGTATAATTAGAGAAATGTCATTGGAATCTTCAATTAGATTGAAGAATAAAATGTTTGTTAATATTTTGATCTAGATGGAACGAAACAAATTTCTAATTGCCTTAGACATACAAAGTGGGATTATTATTCAACATGAAACCAATACAATCATAGATAAGAAATATATTATTAATTACCACAATGTGTCAAAGTAAACAAATTAAAACACTTACATGTCATAATTGACCGACAGCAACGATAAAATTTCACTAAAACACTGAATACTTGGATATTATTATTAATATAATATCGATCAGGATCGAATGAAATAAATTTTATCACGATTATACAATAAACAAACTTTAACTCGAATACAAAACATTCAAAATGTACACAACCACTTCAAACCGTGAAATGTTATGATTGCGCCATGAACATATCCGCAAAAGGGAAGCAATGTTACCACTCGCAAAAACGCAAACTTTAGAAACAAATAGAGGAAGTGCGGGCAAAATGGCATGTTTTTTTTGTTCTTAAAAATAATTTATTTATTTAATAATATTATAACTAGTTTCAATCTTAGTTTTTACTCATCTTATAATCAAATCAAATTGTAAATAACCTTCGCCGGTCTTTGCAATTTATGCCAAACTCTTTTTTACCGGTAGATCCTTTGGTCCTTTGATCCTTTTAAGAAGTAGTTCGAGTAAGAAGCCTTTGATGAATTTGAATTTTCTTTTTTTTTTGGCTCCTGTATTTTTTGCAAAATGGTACTATATCATTTTGTCAACTGTAAGCATATCATTTTGTCTAAAAGCGAACAATAATGAATAAATATCGAAAATTCCATCAAACACTTGATTATTGCAATAAAATTGTTCGAAATCAATAGTACTAGCAGAATTTTAATAGAAATAATTTCAAATAATAATAAATAAGTCTCCAGACAACATGATAACCAGTCTCAAAATAAACTTTTGACGGCGCTATACACGTTTGAACTGATTATTGCTACATTGCTACAAGACTGTGACAATGACGGTCAAGAACTGATAGGATTGTGATCATGCCTTTCGTCACATTAGTCGCGAAAACGTTACTAAAACTAGCCAGTTTTTAAATATGACCACTGTGTCATTTCGCTCATATTTTCCTTATCTTTATTTTAGTTTCAAATTTTCTAACCCTTATTTCTCTTATTTTTCAGATCATCCAAAATGCGTATATCAGACTACAGATTGGAGCGCGACAGCAACGGCAACACAGGCCACGTCGCACATTCGAGCTCTTGCACCCAGATCCACAAAATTCCGGACATAGATCCTCCGGTGATAGATCTTCATGCTGATTATGACCTCGAGAAGACCATTGCTGAAGGATGTTTTGCCAGGATTTTCTTGGCGACTCATAAAGGGACCAATACAAAGGTCGTTCTGAAAGCCATACACGCAGAATTGACATCTTTGAAAGATTTTATCAAGGAATATCATTACAATTATACTTTGAGTCATCATCCGAATATATTGTCCAGCTATAGAGTTTGTTTTAAGGTGATTATTGACAAAATATAGGTATATTTGATCATATTTTTATCATATTTGACCTTTACTTTTTTATTCCAGGCCGATAATTTCTATTGTTTCGCACAAGAACATGCGTGCTATGGAGATCTAGCAGCAAATGTTAAGGCAGGTGGTTTGTCTGAAGAAAGTTGCAAACGAATTGCTTCTCAATTGAGCGGTGCGCTAGATTTTATGCATTCAAAACAATTAGTCCATCGAGACCTGAAATTAGAAAATATTCTTGTTTTTGCACCGGATTTTGCCAGAGTAAAGCTTTGTGATTTCGGCGCCACAGTTCGCGAAGGAACTCTTGTCAACCGCATCGGTTGCACATGGATTTCTTTCTTACCACCAGAAGTCTGCGAAATTGTGCGAAATGAAAGGTATATTTGCAAGTCCTCAGCTGATGTTTGGCAGTTGGCTGTAGTTTTATTTGTATGTCTAACTGGAAACACACCTTGGCAACATGCTGATAGCATCAGGGATGGAAACTACTCCGCTTTTTTCCGTTACCAACGCAGAAGGACAACTAAGATTCCCAATAATTTCCGAAGGTTCTCCCCGCGTCTTTTGAGAATGTTTAGAAAAATGTTTGAACACAAACCAGATAAACGAGCTAAAGTTACTGAAGTCAACAAGTACCTAAAAGACTCGTGGACGGATTCAAAAATCGTTCATTCGAATTCTGGTTCAAGCAATATTTTCAATTACACACCATTGCGAGGTAAAGAATCAATTGCAGAAGGTTGCGAAGAGAAACCAGCTTCAAGAAATTCTATTGATGAAAATAAAAACAAATTAGCAAGACTGTTAAGTAGTTATGGACTTGAAACCACGGTGGACCACCAGGTAACGACAAAGCGAATTTGGGAATGGGTACTTGCGTGCGAAAATCAAGATGCGCAAGATAGTGAATTATATTAATTCATTATATTATATTTTATTAATTTGTACATAGTAGTATTACTTGAATAAATAATTATATTTTAATACGTAGAAATTAGAAAAAATACCAAATGGTTTGAATGGGTTTCTTAAAATTATTGGTCACAAAAAATATATTTTTATCAATAATATTAGGGAAATACATGACAATAAAAAGGATACAAAAACCTACAATTATCCCAGGGGAAAGAATTTAATATATATGTGGTAACCAGTTATTATATCCATTATTTATGTTAATATATGACAATTTGATTTCTGTGCCCAAAGAAAGCAACATGATATGCGTTTGTTAATAATTTTATAAAAAAGCATTGAATTCTTCAAAGACATCCAATCGAAAAGATTATTACTAATGATGATGTCTCAATTCAAACCTCATGATATTATTAAAAATTATTTACAAACGCTGATTCTATATTAGTAATCCACAAATGCATATTTTCAGCGAAAGAAGCGTATAGCGAAGAACATTTATTTTTTCAATAATCAACAAATTGTATGAAATGTATTTTAAATGTTTGAATGTCTAAGTGTATATCAATAGTTTATTGTATTAGTTTGCAACTAATTTCAAATAGAATTAAATAGCAGTTTTTAACTGACTCTTCTAATGCTATTTATAATTAGTAGAAATAAATGTATCTTATTTTGACTGAACTTTAGAAATCTCACCAGTAGTGAGTTAGACGATAAATATATTTTTAATAATTACTATTTATAATCTTGACAGAGAAATATTGATAAGAAAAAGAAAGTACATAATCAATTATACTTTAGAATTAAATTACTATTTTTAAATTTTGATTTGAATAAGTTAGTTTTTAAAATAAATATTTTAGTTACATAGTTTTGGTTGCCAAAAATTGTGATCTCATTTGTTATATTAATTATAAAGTTTAAATGTAAGAACATTTGAAAAATGTACAAAATTGTAAATATTGAATGTAATTTTTAAGTATGAGTGTATATAATGTAGCTAATTGTTAAAATATAAATCTATGTTTATAAAACACTTTTGTAAAAATATTTGTAAAATAAATGTTATTTGAGTATATATGATTTTTATTATTAATACATATTATTGCTCTAATACAATAACATAATTTAATTAATATCAATGTCATATGAATTATTATGAACCAAAATAAAAGACTTGATAAAATATGAATATTTATGCATTTCTACAAGATAAAATAATTGTAAAATAAAATAATATACATAATAAATTAATATGTAAAATTCATATCTTACACAAGTTTTGTATAGTCAACTTTCCATTTTTAAACAATAATCCCAGAACGTTTTATTTACACGTTTTCTCAGAAAACAGTTTCAAATTTAAAACATATGCAACAATAAACATATTTTAATGAACACCCATCTCCACATCATAGAAAAAATTGTATAAAAGTCACAATGACGTACATATTTCAAACATTTAGTAATACTTACAAAATATGGTTAAAAATATAGTACAATTGCTAAACTTTTTACACATGAAACAAAATCGATAGTATAAAAAATAATTACTATGTGTCATAATATAAATAATAAAAATATACACACCAAATTTCTAACGTATTGAAGAAATTCCTAATTTATACAATAACCTTTTATATGGACAATTTTGTTTCCATTTTTATGGATGGTTTCTGAAGTTTTGAACCATGCGACGACCCCAGAAACTCTCCAAGTCAAAGGGTTTGAATTCTTTTAGCCTTGGATCTGTACTTGTGTTTCTATAAAACAAGGTGCTGCTGCAACCACCTTGCTCAATTTCTATCGCTACCTAAAATACAACTACTTTATACGAGGACACAGCACACTATAAATTTACTCATAGTTAATAAATCATACCTTGTGCCAAGACTCATGAATAAAATTTATTAATTCTGCATGCTGTGGTGGATCTTTAGGGACCATTCTTTTGGGTCCAATTGAACTAATACCTCGAGAGCTATAAGTAATTTTTAAAAATGAAAGTATAATATAATTTAGACAAAGTTTAATTCTACATTCATTAATTATAATACAAACATGATTTTATAAACCTCATTCTACTGTAAACAATACTCATTTACAGTATGAGTCATAACAAGATAAGTAAAAGAAATGGCCTTACCTTACATCTCGTACGTTTCGGTCCAAACGATCCATTTTTTCCATATTGTTATAAGTCAAAACTATATATGAATATATTAAAACAAGCTCGTAAAAGAATACTTAAGAATCCTACATTAACATAAATACTTAAAACTATTATCACGATATTTAGCAATTACTAATTGACCCTTGATAAATGCTTTGTCAGATATTACTTTAGAGAGCTTTGTTTTGATAAACGGCAATGGACGCCATCGAATGCCAACAAACGTGACAGCTGTCACTAGCAGGCTGCTTATTAAGTATAAATGAAGAGCTGGTCGAAAAAAACTGAATTATCTTCCATAACCTATAATGTAAAGTATCGCTAAAAGTAAGTGGCATTTTATTTTCAGGCAAAATATAGATTTAGCACTTTTTCAACTTGTTAGAACAGATTTTTAACTTTTCGAAGGAGAAGTTTATGTTTTCATCCAAAAATCAGGTTTGCTAATTTTATGTTTCAAGCCATCCTAAATCGAATGAGACCAAATTTGGAAAATGTATGTGTGTGTATGTGAACAGATTTTTTGCCGTAAATCGACGTTTTCTCAAAAACGGCAAGACCGATTTAAAAAATTTAAAAGCCATTCAATGTATCTCGATGAAAACTGGACGGGCCGTATTAAAATATTAAAAAAAAGAGTGCGCGTAAGGATCACACGCGATTGAAGTAAAACTTTTAATATTGTATGAGTAGGCAATTAAGATAAAAATAAAAAAAACATCATATTTGAATTTTAAAAATCATCTTTTAATAATCATATAACATCAATAATAATAAGATCTCCTGAGCATCGGCACAGCTGTCCTACTGACATTAAGAGTTTGAATATGATGTGAAGCTTTCTTCCTAATTTTGTTACCTATCTTACCGGGAAATTCAAACCATAAACGTAGAAGTTCATCATTATCGCCACGTTCTATGTACACTAATTTTCCCACACAACCATTAGCTAAGCCATCACTTACATCAATATTAGTTATTATGTAAAATTTATTCAGAACTAAAATTATTTCATACGGCAAAGCCCCGGTATCAATAACCGATTTTTTTGAAACTGCTGACGAATGTATGATTGTTGATCTGTCGCATGGCAACCTACATAAATATCCGTGGCAGTAGATATTATTTTGTCTTTAACGGGATTCAATATAAATTTATTATATTCCATGGCACATTTATTCTCTAAGAAAAGTCTTATTCCATGAGGACATAATACAGCAACCTCTTCTTTTGTAAAAAAAACGTGATTCAATTAATGCAAGTTCATATAGGGTTTAGCGCTCGACTTACGCATGACATGACGGGAGTGGATACTCGCGACATCAGCGCTTACGGCGTCGTAGTGTTCAACTACACGTTGGCATTTTCGTTGCATTTGTACGGATTTACACCCGTGTCGCGCCTAAAAATTTTTACACCCATATCGCGCCTAAAGAAGTTTTACTTCAAAAAATCGACGATTTTTCTTGAATTATAGATCATACTAAAATATTACGGTCCTACGACAAGTCTTTTAATTTTAAAAATTTGTCAAAGTTTGCAAAAATTAGTTAAAGTTATCATTCATTACAAGATTAAATCCATACACTTCTTCTATCTATGATGAGTGTGTTAAGAGAAGTAATTTGTTAAAAGAAATAATTTTTTTGACCGGCTGGCCTACTATGTGTCAGTGCCAGCCAATTGGCGAACGCGTCGCTATTGCGATATGTTAGTCGGTTATGTGTCAGTTACATATGAAAAGAAGTCAGTGTCAATGTGTCAATTTTGTAAATAGTGAAGTGCTTAGAAGTGCAACCATCGAGTGCAAAGATGCTGTAGCAACATATTAATCCTGTTTTGTTTGTTTTTGAAATTTACTAGTTTTTACTTTGTTATGCATGTGACGTTAATTACAGCATTTTGTTAATTGATATCTATATTTAAAAATCAATTAATATGCCACCGAAACGTAAAGACAGAGACGCGGAGCCGTCGAAAAACCCGCGAATGGATCACATTCAGGCGGATCATGAATTGTTTTTGCAAGCTTTTGAAAGTATGTTATCAAACAAATATTATATTATGTTGCATACGTAAACAAATAAATGATTCATATATGTGCTTTTAATTTTAAAATAAATTTTAACCTATATGTTTTCTGATTTATTTTAGAGCCTACACAAATTTATCGTTACTTAAGAACAAGAAACATTGTTTGTGTGAGTATTATAAACCAACAAAATAAAAGTAATAGTATCACTTAATACATGAATTCCAATTTTTTAGCCTATTTTTATCAATCGGACATTACTGTATATGAAGCAGCGCATGTCCAGAAATCACAAAGCACGCAGAACTTTTAAAGTTGATATGATGCTTGAACAAGTGCTGGAAAAAAATAAAGGCGATTTGCCTTGTCGTCTTAGCTTAGGAGGTTATATGACATTAACCTTCCTTGGATTTTATGATAAAACTCTTGATGAGCAATTCGAATCTGTTAAAGTTGAGATTTCTTTACTTAAAATTAGTCACAAGAAGAGGAAGGATAGCACTTCAACTCTTATGCAGAGCTTGGTAAATGCTTTACTACTTTATAATATTTTGTCTCTAAACAATTAATTGCAAATGTAACCTGTTACCATACTATAACACTTAGCACATTTCAACAAAGTTGAACCTGAAGCAAAATAGCGCTAAATGAGACTATCTTAACATGTAAATAAAGTCGCTATGGGATTTGGGTAGAGCCAGTATGAGTACTTAAAAATAAATAAAATTTGAATTCAGATCATTACTGAATGTTTTGCCTTTGTCAAACAGGCTTCTAATGCAGTTTGAGTTTTATTTCAGCATTCTTTTATAACCCTCTCGTTATAAATGATAAATAATCTTTAACATTCTGTCTTGCTTTTGAATTCCTTTCAAAATTTGAATCATTTTAAAGGATTGGTCAATAATTTCAGTCAGAAGTCTACTTAAGAACATTATTGAAAGCGCTATTTGCTCTTCTTTGATATCGCCACTATCAATATTTTGTGTTCTTCTTATTCAATTAGTTGTCTTAGACTTGAATTAGAAAGAGTAACTGTTACTTGAACTATTTCATCAACGTACAATTTTACTTATATATACTGGTTTGTTTTACTAATTATTCAATTTTTTTGCTCTTATTTTGGTGAAACCCAGGGCTTAAATTAAAAAACACCAGATACATTTCAAAATTCTTATAAGAAAATAGTAATTTTTTGTTATCCAAAAATCTACTTAGAGCATTCAGACTTGGCCTATTACTCTTTAAGTTAATACAAATATGATCATTCAATAAAATGAAATTCAATTATTTCAGATTGGTTCTAACGAAGTAGTCCTTAATCCTTGTGATACAAACCCTCCCACACAAGTAACGGCTTTGAGTATTCCATCAGAATCATTTAAGCCTAATGGAGGACCATTATCGAAATCTTATATGCTACTATTGCATGTTCAGTGTCCTAACTTTGCGGCTAGCCAAACAGATGGTAATTGATTTATTATATAAATGAGTTACCAATTATCTTATATTGTTTATATATTTATAGAACCAATAATAAAGAAAATGAAAACCAGTAAAATTTATGGATCAACTCTGATTGTTTATGATAAACATGGTCGTTGTCTACTCACTGAAGGAGAATATGAAATACGCCTTCAAGAAATAGCATGCAATGTGAAAAGTAAGAATGAAGATTAATTTTATAGAACAAAATATTATTTGAAAGCATTTATTTACTCTATCTCCAGATAGAAAATATATAAATTCAAAATTGATGCTAAGTATTAAAAGATGTATCCAATTATTATTATTTCCAGCAACATCACCTAAGAAGTTATCAAACTGGGAAACAATATCAGAGATTCCAGAAAAAGCAAAACATGAATCAAAATCCAAACCTTTTGAAATTTTCCAACACAGTCCAACATTGAAATTTAAGTTGTGTTGGACACAAGAGCCAAGTCCACCGACTGTTGAAAGACCAATGCCATATACAAAGTCAAATGATAACATCGAAGCAAACAAAGAGAATAGAAATATTTGCAATAATAATAATTCAATTGTAACAGAAAATGATAAGCTAGTAAAACGTGAAAGCAAAGTACAAGTTCTATATCAATTTTTATATAACAATAATTTGAGACAGCAAACTGAATCCTGTATTGATTTTCTTTGTCCTTGGTGCAGTCTGAATTGCGGATTATTATATTCGCTACTGAAACATTTGAAACTGTGCCATGCTAGATTTACCTTTACATATGTGGTAAGTAGGCCGCTAAAATAATATGATGGCTACTGTTGAAATCTTCTTCGTAAAAATTTAATACTTTTTTTTTTTACTTATTTTGTTTGATTATATTTTCAGCCATTAACACAATGTGCTAGAATAGATGTAGCTATAAACGAGTTGTATGATGGTTCTTATGTTGGGGCACCTCAAGATTTGCTAGGCCCTTCTGGATTTGCATTTTCAAGGAATGGACCGACTCGAAGAACTATTGTATGTAAAAATTCAAAACCGGTTAAAAAAAGATTTTCTAGAGGCAACTTAATAGCACTAATCCTGTGTTGTATATTTATTTAGGTTACACATATATTAGTTTGCCGACCAAGAAGAAGTAAACCCAGTTTATCAGAATTCTTGGAATTGGATGAAAATGAATGCGACAGCCAAAGACCTTACATTACAGGTCACAATCGGTAAAATAATTTTAATACAATTGATTAAATTCTTGCATTTCTTCATTATATTTTTATTCATGATTTTATTGATTTTTAGTCTGTATCATCATACAATAACATGCCTACCGATTCAGCCTAAAGAACTAGATGTTGATTCAGAAGGAGAAAGTGATCCTTTGTGGTTAAGGCAAAAGACAATGATGATGATAGACGAATTCACAGATGTTAATGAAGGTGAAAAGGAGCTTATGAAAATGTGGAATTTGCATGTTATGAAATACGGGTATGTCTTTTCTTACTGAAATAGTTCAAATGGCTTCATAATTTTTGCGCAATCATTATTAATAACAAAGTGAATATATATTTTTTTAATTTTCTAGGTATGTGGGAGACTGCCAAATACCTTTAGCCTGTGCTATGTTCATTCAAATGCGCGGAAGAGAACTTCTAGAAAAAAATTTATATAAAAATTTTGTATTACATATGTGTTCTCTGCACGATTTTGGTCTGGTCTCACCCGAGATACTGTATCAAACAATACAAAGACTTCAAGATTTAATCAAAGAATCTGGTGATATTCAAAAATCACTACAAGAATCTCGCGATCAGCAAATGGAATACTGGTTGAAACATGGCATTCACAAACCTCAACCAGAAACAAAGCCCAATTTTTCAGGCACAAACAATAAAACAAACTTAGATTCACCAATGACTCGCAGGAAAATGACTACGCCTAGCCATAGCAGGAGTGGTTTTATGAATGAAAATTCAGTTAGTCAACGCAGAAAAATGCCTAATCAGAAAATGAGTAATATTATTAATGGTTCCGATACGCCGTTGAGGAGAAACCCGCCAGGAGCTATGCTGAGTCAGGTAAAAATTTACCTAACTAAAATGAATAATATTTAAGTTACCATTCCTATGCCATCATGAAATAAAGCATAACTATTTACTTTCAACAATATAAATACATTTATTGTGTAAAACTGCATGTTCTTTATAATTTGACTGTTGTTTCATATAAACAGCAAAAAATATTGTTATAATTTTATCTTCGGTTTCAAAAAGCGAAGTCAATACATCCCCAAATATAATGAAATAATTTTATGGCAGCTTTGTGCTCCAACATAATTTTTATGATTTAAAATCTATATAATTTACTTTAATGATTGGTTTAGAAAAATATCTAACTTTACGATTTTTATTACTTTTTAAATAAATGATTGACGTCACAGTTTTCAATTTATACTTTTATCTGTGAATACAAATGTAACGCTAAACAAACATGTTTATTTAGTTTTCAATAGAATTATAAATTACAGTAAAATATAAATAATGATAGTGAAAGTGCTAATTAATTTTTTGAAGAACAAAGTTCACAATGAGCAATTTTTCTTGAAAAAGTAGTTTTCTATGTAATTACTACAATTAGGCTAAATTTAGTCTAACAAGAAGAACCTCAGGTTTCCTCTTCTGAAATTTTGAGGAAACTTTGCATGGTGATGGAGTTGATAATCCAAATGAACAGTTTAAAATGTTATAGGTCTATGAGAAGTTTAATTATGAAAATTAATTGAAGTATTGAAAAATAGTCCGGGATATAGCAGCATTTAAAATATATAAAAAATTTAATATTAAATGTAAAAATGTATAGTATATGTGCTTGCAATATTTAACTATTTAAATATAAAAATATATTTAGTAAAATAAATTAAATTCATGCTGATGGGATTTCCGAAATAAAAAAAAATCAGTATATGCCTAAGCTATTGAGATATGATATTAGTATTGTGCTCAGCTTATTTTTTAAGGTTTTAATTAATGTTTTCAATGAACCACTTCTCATGGGGATTCTATAATGTTTAGAACCGTTTGGTTTGACTATCAACCTCATCACTATGCGAAATCTTATCAAATTGCTAGAAGAGTAAACCTGAGGTTCTCCTTGTAAGCATTAAAGTTTGTCATTACATTTACATTACATGATATTCTATACTTATGATTCATGCATTTTAGCTTTTGAATAAGTATAACTATGAATAGGTATTTGTGCTTGAAAATCTTGTCAGTCATTCTTAAGATTATGAATCCAAATGGAATTTTATATAAAAAAATGGTCATGTCAAGAAAATGTACTAGATAATATTGCTAGTGCTCTTACCATGTTTTAATTCATAATATTAATGTTTAACACAACAGAGAAGACGCTCAGAGGTGAATTTGAGAAATACCCAAAGTGAGGCTGTGCAAAGAAAACGAATGTCTTTAGCGCCAAAACTTGAAGCGAGGGGTTAATTTCGAAGCCTTTTATTTTATATACTGTGTGTATTACTACATATGTTAGTTTAATGTTTGTGTTATTTTAGTAATTTTATGATAAAGCACTGGCAATTTTATTTAAATGAAATATTGATCGAAACTTTTGATTATATTATTTCATTAAAATTATATTGTGATATTTTTGTTTATTCCAAAGCAATTAAATATTTATATAAGTACAAGCATTTTGCATTGTCGAAATGCTTAAACAGCACCTTTTGTTGATGAGTGACATTTATAATGAATTACACTTAATATTTATTATGAAACTATTTTAAGTGATTTGTAATCACTATAGTGAAAAAATAATTGATACTTGCATACTGCCTTTAATCTATAACGCTAATTGTTTATACAATTATTATTCACTGCCTTTTATGTTCCCAATTACTCTAAATACTTAATATTTGTATTTAATTAAAAATTAGGACATGTATTTTATATCAATGAAAATATAGGTTCATTAGAAATATCAAACGTTTTGTCTTATTTTCAGTTGAAATTTATTTATTTACAGACCTGGATTTACAACATATCGATATCAAATTATTATTTAAAACTTGCTTTTAAAATATTTAATAATCACACACACAAATATATATATATATATATATATATATATATATATATATATTCCAGCCGGCCCAGCAAACGTTGCTTTACCATTTAAAGTATTTCTAAAAAATTTCGAGTGTCACAGAAAAATCACTAACTTATTGTAAAGTGTATAAATATATTGTATAATTTGGGTATCAATAATATTAACTCTTTGCGTTTTTAATTTTTAGAAACCAAGTATATATACAATTCGTTTTATGTCGACATTGAAGAGCATACTGTTACAATAACATCAAAATTTACTTTTGATAATTTTGTATAGAATGTTAAAGTTTAAAGTTTAAAGAAAAGAATGCATCACAATTAATTTATTGATATGAGAAACTTGATAAAATGAATAAAATCCTATTTTAGAAACGATTGTTTTTGGCAAAAGAAAAGAAAAGAAATATTTTTTATTTACAAACAAATTTTTTTCAATATCGAAAATTCCAATTTGGACGTACGGAATACAGCTTGGGGAACATAAAGCATGCAATTCAAAGATTTCAAAACAAGATTTTGAAAGGAATTATAATATCAAAAATAATTCAAATTTTCAACTTTGGTTTCAACAATTTGCCTCAAGGCACGATGCCATACACCACTAGTTTTTTTTTGACGAGAAACAACAATTTAGCTCATTAGCTCATCTGTACGTCGTATTTGATTAATATTATTATGTACACGGGATCGTAAATAATATTAAACATTACATCTCACGCGGCTAGCTTTTATGTTACATATAACCTTAGTCTTTGAAAGTCTTCACAGAACATAAATTTTATTTTAAACTTCTTACGACACACGTCTCATCCAGCTAAAGTCTTTCAAATCAATTCAGAAATCATATTTAATAATAATATAAAGTAGTTTCGCACCTTTTCATGTTGTGACATATCGCATAATATAAAAAAGATTCGCGTATTTGTCATTAACCATTCTCCTCTCACTGAATCTGATGGTGAGATCCGAGAGCAGGATCGTATTTGGTGATGGAATTGAGAAATAATAGTTCCTATAAACACTAATAATTGACAACTAAATAGATAAGTATATAGTGAAGTTGCTCAAGTCGTACCCCTTCACTATAAGCAAACGTTTAAAATTTGAAGGAAGAAATTAATAAACAAGTGGTGTATGGCATCGTACTTCGAGGCAAATTGCCCGCACCGAATTAAAATTTTGGAAATCCGAATTATTTTCGATATTCAGAAAAAAACATTTTTTTGGATTTTATTTTCTTTTCCCAGAAATAATCGTTTTGTCAACACAAGCAGAAAGTTTTTTGAATAATAACTAGGATGCTTATTTTTCTCAAAAACTGCCATTTTTGGCAGAACCTGTTTTTGCCAAAAACCAATCACCACTTCTTTACATCATTACGAATTTAATGTGTTATTGGATCATTCTAATATTTTGGACTCAATTGTAAGTTTTCTACAGCAATAATATTATACTGATTTTTTATTAAGGTTTATTTGTATTACTCATTTGTCTTTTGTATTTAGGATTATAAATTATCTAAATAAAAATGATAAATATTTGAACTCTTCAATTCGTACGTTTTGGCACTGTACGTGTGTCAATATTCAGCACAGAAAATATTACATCGTTTTGTTGAACGCAAAATATCAATATTAATAAAATAATAAAATTATGTAGTAAGTAACATGAATATCTCAAATGAATATAGGCAAAAATAAGGTATGACTATTTAAAACCAAGTTGGTGAGGTAAGATGGGCAAAAGACTGGAAGGACTATACACTGGCAAAAACGATAGTTCACAATCAGAAATTAAATTATCCCTATAATGGTCCTAAAAAGAAGAATTTTCTTTATTTATACTAAAATTATTTAACTATATAAAACAATTATCAGCATATGTTCTAGAATCAGTATTTTTTTATTTAAAATTATAGTATTATTGGTTTTAAAAGTATAGTTACTCATACTGAACATATATCCTGAAAACATAGTTTTGAATTGATTTGAATTTTTTGAATTCCAGATACGTTGATTTATTCTCCTGCAGAGGCAGAGGAACTTTCTCTAAAGCAACAACAAATAATATCGGTAATTTGTTTAATTAATGTTTTTGATTTCAAAACTGAGAAAAATAGTTGAAAACATTCATTTTATTTTATAGCAATTTTATTTTATTAAACGTTATTCTTCAAGAAAAAACAACTTGTTTAAGAAATTGGTGAAACTACTTCAATATGGTAAAAAAAATGACGAACTTGCTGATTGATGACACAAGAACAGTTTGGATCTGGTGGTTTTTTTGATCTGTTTGATTGCAGATCAATATATGTCACAGTCGCGTGCGAAGAAGAAGTGCATATATGGATATGCACATTCTTCTAGCGCCATATAAATATATATATATATATATATATATATATAAAATATATATATATATATATATGTATATATATGTTTATTTGATCAGCAATACGATCTATATTCTGTGTTCGCTATCGTACATCCTAACCTACTGTTTTTCATGATCAACCACTCTCCTTTTTTGTGTAGACTTATATTAGTTATGTATATATAATAGAGTTGCAACAATGCACTCGAAAGGCAATTTTTACTTGAGATTTCATATGAGGTCTACAACTGCAATTTAAAATTTGATATCACACTGCTTGGGACAACACCAGGACAAAATTTTGCTAGCCCACAATCTTAACCTTTACACAACAAAGGCTCTATATTAGTGTGTAATACAACAAATATTACACATTCCATCAAATTGAAATAAACACATGGTGTGTTGATAAGTACAACAAAAATTAGTTAAGATAAAATACGTATATTTGAATAATTATAAGTAGGAGTTGACAAAAATACCAGCAATGTTTTTAATAATAACATAAATACCTAGCTTTATTTTTTTAATAAATCTAATAGACGTAGCTTAATTTAGCCTTTTCTAAATTGTTCTAAAATAGTATCATTTACAGATACATAATAATTAAACATTATACAAAGATACGTTAATACTCCAATTATGATAAGTTCTAATTGTACTCATTTTGAATTTATCGCAATTGCTTTGTAATAATTATTTAATAACTTTAATAATATAAATTCATTTAAAATATATTGGACAATTTTCACTGAGATCATCTTTTAGCTTATTATAAGTTTAAAATCAATTAACTTATACAATTATATCTAAAAAATCCTTGATATTTTTCTAGAGCAGTGGATCGGATATTATTTTATTAATTTTCTAATAAGGATATTTCTTCCTACGAAGACAACATTGAAAGTTGATTGATATTATATGATGAGAATTTAATTGCGAAAAATGGTGTAATAAATACCACATTAATGCAAATCAATGAACGTGAAAAATATGAACTGATGTAAGTGCAAGTATAATTCTTGATGTAGTTGAAGGTTTATCAAACCTGTATTGAATATATAATTTATTATTTAAGAATATCAACATGAAAACAATTATAATATAATATTCGATACATATGAACCACCAAACATAGGTGTATAAAAAATCCGGATAAATGAATTGGGTCAATGTCTGTAGGTAATAAATAAATATACGTGTGCATTTTTGCTTGGGGATGTTGGACTCATTAACAATAATACAGTCTAAAAACCCCCGATTTTCTCTTGCCTTTAGTCTAATTACTTCATATTGAAAGTACTAAGGAGTTATTTTTCCGTATTCTCACGTTGTGCACTAAAAAGTGGGCATGCAAAGAAAGGGTGTTCCTCAATGTCTTTTATACCAGAGGCTCTATTCAGTGATATATATATATATATATATATATAAATATATATATATATATATATTTATATAAGTATGTGTGTGTATGTATGTATATGTTTTTTATATCAATATCAACATCGTAAAGATTTGATGTTTGATGAAGCGAGGACATTAACAATAAGCAGTCTGAATGACCTTTCATATGAACTAGGGCATCTCCATATACGTCGTCTTTCATATGTGCATCAGCTTGGGAAAATATTCTCAAACAGGAAATATACTGCACATGTTACTTTGCACATTACAATCGTTTGTGGGTGATAGTCATCCTAGAAGTATTCCATTATTAAATTAACTGTACTTTGAAATTTAAAAATTACTTTAAGTTATTGGTCTATGCAAGATCATTTTAATAGATTCTCATTTATGTTACTATTTAAGAATAATATTTGACTCTTTAAAGAGTGTATCAAATGTATCAAAATATGAAAAGACAAAAGAGCGGTAACAAGGTTGTGTGTATTTTAAAATTTTGATGAACTCACAAGATTGTCAAAGGAAATTTTTATTGAAAGATTTGAATAACTACAAATGACTATATAATACACACATAAATATACATATATACTTAATTCTTTTAAGTGTTGCATTTGA